CAAGGAAAATAGGGGAGTTAGGGGGGGGGGGGGGAGACGTCATACCAAACAAGTTTCTAAAGTTAAGTATCTAGGATTAATATTACAAACTGCTGGAGAAATTAATGGAGATGTCACACATGATACAAGCTGGGTGGTTAAAATGGGAAAAGGTGTTGAGGGTTATTTATGAAGGCAAAGTACCTACCAAACTGAAAAGGAAGATTTATCGTTGACTATAAAATCAACAATATTCTATGGCAGCAAAGTTAGGCTTTAAAAGGACAACACGAGAAAAAAAAGTGAGTAGAAAAATGAGAATGTTAAGATGAATGTGTGACTTCATAAGAAATGAAATGTGTTGTAAATGAGAAGATAATGATATGGTAATTTTTGAGATGACAAAAAATCAGTTGAAGTCATTTAGACACGTGCAGAAAAGGGCCATTGGAGGCACCGGTGAGGAGAGCAAGATTGTGTGGGTTTTTAATCATGTAAAATGGTTAGAGGAAAACCAAGATGGACATTGGACGAAATTATTGAAAGTGATCTCATGATGAATTATATCTTTGAGGACTTGATTTTTAATCAAGTCTAATGGCATTGTTTAGGTTGCTTTCTTTCTTAATGTTTCTTTTCTTTGTTAGGAAAAAAAATCTCATTTTACAGTCCTTGAGTGATAGGGAACAAAAAGAGGTCTAGCGTGTTTTGGATGTGCTTGTTTGAAAATGACAAGTAAACCTACCTCTAGATTTGTTATTTTGCAATTTTAACGACATTGGTCTGTTCGTTTACATCTTGTTGAAGTCTTTGAGATCTGTATTCCAAGCTCCTGCCTCCTAGTAACACTAAAAATGGCTGTATCAAGATGTTGTCCTAAGAAATGGTTAACTGATTCATTTTCTAGACTTGCATATATGCTATAATAATAATTTATTCGAAAAGTAGAGATATAGAGTGAAATTTTTTTCATGGTCAAGCTAATCTTTCTCCTTATTCTAGGTACTTCACTGGTCTGTTATCCCCATGGAAGGGCATCCTCCTTTTTGGCCCACCGGGGACAGGAAAGGTTTGTATTGGTGTTCCATCAGAAACATTTACAGGGTTGCCTCCTTAATGTCTATCATTCTAAAATTGTTAGAGAATGTTTTGGTATGTGTGTGCAAATAAAATTACAAATTCAAAAATAAATTATGTTAAAAGCAATATGCAGCCTTTATATTTTTCAAAATTTGATGATTGTGAATACAATAGTTTCTTTTTCTTTTTATTTTCTGAGTAATTAAATAACTTCTTAACTTTTGGTTTGAATATTGTAGACAATGCTTGCAAAGGCAGTTGCGACAGAGTGCAAGACTACTTTTTTTAACATTTCAGCATCTTCGGTAGTCAGCAAGTGGCGAGGCATGTTTTTTACAACTCTCTCCCCCCTTCATTTTTTGAGTATTTATTTATTTTTCTTTGATAAATCTTAATCTAGGTTTGAAACCTGAAAGTGTTTTTTTTTATTTATTATGGTAGTGTATTTTATTTTTTTAAAAGAAAATAGACTAGTCTCTTTCTGGAAATGATACAACTAACTATTGTTCTTCAAATACAATGATGCTAAATACCTTGAATCTTGCTAATTGATATACCCCTTACTTGGTCATTTGTTCAACACCCTCATCCTCTGTTAGCCATATAGACAGACAGGCATACATAGCATATATCTTAAAACAATGATCTATTATCAGTGTGCTTAAAACAACTATTTGATATACCATGAATGATTTGGATTCAAACAATTGATTGCACGACTTAAGGGCTGTTTAACTCGGATCATTTGCTATGTTCAGCTTCCCTTACATCTCATTTTAAGCTAATGATGTCAAAGAATGAGTGTACAATAGATAATAGATACCTGATAGTGGTGACTTGTTAGATGTCCATTAGTTTAGTCACTAGTTACAATATATCAGTTAGTTACGATGAATTAGTTAGTTAGCTGGGAAGGGATAATTAGAATAAATAGGGCGTTGCCTATAAATAAGAGGGAAGGGAAGAGAGAATCTTGTCATTTTGTGAGAGAATTCGGACCTTTGGTTTGGGAAGTGCAGCACCTCGAAGAACTGCATTGTGTGTGTGTTTTATTTTGTAAATTGGGGAATTTCTCCCCAGTTTGTATAAATACCAGGTTCCATCAAGTAGAATTTATTTGTATTTTATGTAGCATTGGTACTTCAAAATTTAGCAGCCTTCACAAATGATCTTTTTGAATGGCATTTATTATGATTTTTATTCTTCAAATGCCATTAGAATTGGTGCATATGATTTAGATGATGAGATTGAGAGCTTAGTTTGGTATAAATTGTTGTCAAGTTACAATGCAAAAAGTACATATTTTAAAAAATAGTTTATTTTCATGCCAGTATTATTCCTAATTTCATGCTCATTTGTGGATGTACATCTGTTCATTGAACTTTGTTTTGGAATGCCCATAGATGATAACATTGCTACTTATCAGTGTGTTAAATCCCAGATAGTGGTGCCTAGCGGTCAATCCCAAAAATGCTATAGTGGGATAGCCGCTATTCTGACATTCATAATTAACTATGAAAAGTCATAGGTGTCTTAAACTAACCACACAAATAAATTCCAACAGAAGTCAAATACAAGTTTCCTATATGTTGACATGACTGAGAACAATAGGTAGCGGTCACCAGACTGAGAAGAGAGAGGCAGAGGTCGCTGGGGGTAGGCAGAGGCAGCAATCTCTGACAGACCCAGTCATCAGAGAGGAGATACCAGAAACCAGTTGCCAGAGAAACCAGAAACCGTCCCCAGAGAAGAGAAAACAGAGGCAGAGAGAAAGTGAGAAACTAGTCCCTCGACTCGAGAGTTGGGTTGAGAGATATGTCACACAGAGAAAGTGAGAAAGGACAGCTTTTTGATTGATTTAATAAGCAAAAATTGTTTTGGAAATTGAAATCCCAAAAATAGCCCTAATGGTATTTCGTCTGCAACAGGCACTACACTGAACCACTCACTATGGAAGCCTTGTAGAGGCTAGGGCCACTATGCCGCTATAGCAGTTGTTTAAAACCGTGCTATTTATATTAAACTCTGACACAAAGATGCTTTATAAAAAAGACTCTGAAATTGGAATTTAATTAACTTTTCCTTTTTTATATTTCCTACACCCTCTTCAGTCGTCTCATGCAAAAGGTCCCAATCCCAAATGCTTTGCAATAAGTGAGAAAATGTTGTAAAAATGTGATTTACTTTATTTTAATTGGTTTTGTCTTTTATCCTTTTGTTTTTGGATAGAATGCAACAACAAAACTCTTCCCTCACCAGATGAGGTTGACATGAATCACATGAGCTTGGTTATAGACCATAATTTCAGAAATATAATTTCCCATTAGATCTCTCTTAACAATCTTCCCCAATACTCCCTTTTCACCGGGCTAAACAAAATAAAACCTCTCCGCCTATGGTTTCATAGCTAGTCACAAGCTTAGGTAAAGGAGGTGGTAGTGATAAGCCCTTATCAGTGAATGTAAAACTTGTCACTGAACTTTTTCTTGACAGAATGGGGCTTTTAAAATGATATTCTTTCTGTTTTCTATTTGTTGTAGTTTGTTCTTTTGTGAATATGTACATTTACAAAATTTGTTTTGGACTACAGGTGATTCAGAGAAGTTAGTGAAAGTGTTATTTGAACTTGCTAGGCATCATGCACCCTCAACAATATTTCTTGATGAAATTGATGCGATCATTAGTCAACGTGGTGAAGCTCGCAGCGAACATGAAGCAAGTAGACGTTTGAAAACTGAACTTCTCATTCAGGTGATGCTTGTTTCTTACATTGAACATACTTTTTTGTGATCATCAAGTTCATACTATCTGTCAAGATGTACTACATCAACTAGGAATATGGTCAGAATACTCCTTAGAAGGCTTGGACAATTCTCCCCCTTTTATTGAGCTAGATTTTGGAGTTAAATGAGGCTCAATCCGTTTCTAACTTTGGAACATAGAATCTATATGGGACATTTTTTTTTTCTTTTGCCTCCTACATTAGATTCATGTATCAGCAAAAGCCTCCAATGTATTATGTCCTTCCTTTTTTTTGCACATAATCCTGTATTTCTCCTAGTCCGTTGTGGTGTGCAGGAAGATCTTTAAACATCTCATGCATAATTGTATCAGCACACAAAGATTAAGGAGAAATTATTTCCCACAAATATCCAGATAGATTGTTGAAATTTTGTTTTTGCAGCTATCGTGACTTAATCTATTAGTTATTTAAGTTTACTAAGATAATTGGCATTTGAAAATTGAAACCTTGAAAGATTTTTCATTTTTCTTGGGTGTTCTCTGCAAAATCAAAATCTGCATCTTAATATGCATTATCATAAATGGAGTGGCATATGTATTCTGCTGTGCTTTCTCAAAAATTAATCATTTGGATTAAGATTGCAGATGGATGGTTTGACACGGTCAGATGAATTGGTTTTTGTTTTAGCGGCAACCAATCTTCCCTGGGAATTGGATGCAGCTATGCTCCGACGTCTTGAGAAGCGAGTATCCTTTAAATAATAAGCTAATGCTTAGTAGTGTGCATGATAAATGATTAGGTCAAATTTTCTAGTCCTCTAAATGACATTTTACTTCATTGACTTGGAATTATTGGTCTTGATGAGGAAATATGAATTATCTGTTAGGTTTCAACAAATTGATGACTATTCCCTTTTACTGTAGAATAAATCTTAGTTCAATGCATATTTAGATGATGTCCAATAAGCAATATGCAATTGAAAGCTCTCAGTCCTTGTCTAATGGTTGCCCCTTGACCATAATTGAAAGATCCTTGTACCACTTCCAGAACCAGTAGCGAGAAGAGCGATGTTTGAGGAACTCCTTCCTCCACAGCCTGACAACGAACCGATTCCGTATGATTTATTGGTGGAACAGACAGAAGGATTTTCGGGGTCAGATATTCGGTTACTCTGTAAAGAGACAGCAATGCAGCCCTTAAGACGCTTAATGTCACAGCTTGAGCAGAGACAGGAGGAGGAGGTGGTTCCTGATGAAGGTATGTCGTTACAAAGGAACATTGATAGATAGTGTTCCTCTTATGTAGAATTTTCAACCATAAGCTATTTACTTGAGTTTGTTTAATTTTACTCCCCGCGAACTAAAAGCAATTATTGGGTTACAGAGTTGCCAACAGTTGGGCCAATCAGATCTGAAGATATAGAGATAGCTTTAAAAAACACAAGGCCGTCTGCACATCTCCATGCTCACAAATATGACAAGTTCAATGCTGATTATGGTAGTCAAATACTACAATGAGAACTTTTAGTCATTATTGTTAGGGTCTCCACAATTTGATTGTCATAAAAAATGCTGTTGTACAACTAGGAAACGTAAAACATTATTTTGCTGTGAGTTTATTTACAGCTTTTCTGAAGTGCAACTTTGCATTTGGTCTTCTACATTATTGGTACCAGATATTTTTACATATCTAAATGGTTGTGATTATATTTTTAAATCTCTCATTATTTGATCATTAAAATATTATCGCCGCATATTGTCACTTCCTATGTTTCTTTTTTGCATTGTCTGATGTGTAACTTTGCATACATTTTTCTCCATGATTAGTACCAATATATGTAGATGGTTGTGATTATATTTTCAAATTCCCCACTATTTATTTTACTATCGTGACATGTTGTCACTTCCCATGTTTATTCTACGCACTGTCTAATAATTGGGAAATAAGGACATGTTCCCACGACAGGTGTTCTAAGTATTTTCTTCACTGACGAAAATTTTAGTATAAGTTTAATCATTAACGAATTATTTGAATTTAACATGTTAAATACTCGATTTTGTTAGTTTTGTTAATAGAATCAATTTAGGTTCGATTATTTTAAATGAACTAATTTTTCTTTGCAACGATGACATTAATAGCTGATGTATGGTTTTTTTTACACCAATAGCTGATTTATGTTTTATCACATTTACTTGAAAATTGTGTTTCTATTTATTGTTGTTATTATTATCTTTATATATATATATATTATTTATTTATTTAACTTTAATTTTCAGTAGTCATTTAATGATTTTTTTCTTCAAATTTTTATTGGTCATTTTTATAAACAAAAGATTGCATTAATATTTCTATTATGTATACTAATCGATCAAACCATGAATGAGACATGCACGTAAGTGTCATATTTTATTTTATTTAAATAAAACGATTTTAAATTTTAAATGCAACACATTTCAATAAATGCCTTTTTTTTTTCTCCTATCACAATTCAAGTTTAAAATTTAAATGTCTTGACTTGATTCATTTATACCTGTCTTTGGACAAAGCTCTCTACGATATACTTCCCATTTTTGCTCGTTGTTGGGACTAGAGGAATCCAACACGTAAAGAAAAATAAAATAGTATGTTTAGAGGAAAATAGAAAAGGGAAAATTTCATTTTATGAAATTACAAATCCATTTCTTTGCACGAGAGAATGATTATAACGATTTTCAATTTTGAGGCTTGAATAAAATCAATATTCCCTAATTTTATTGACCAATATTAGAAAATTATTCAATAAAATTCATCACACAATGGCCGTTTAACCAACGTAACATACGTGTACAGGTTCAATCAAAATAAAGTAATATATGGTATTCGAAAGTGTATTGCTTTATGTTACAAATTTTTTCTTACACAACAAAACACACAATAACCATAATGTCAAACAAATAAATTAACGAATACAATAAACAGATGCACTAGCTGATGTGATGTATACATGCTCCAATCCCTATAGTTCTTGCTTCCATACTTCATACTGGTCCAACTTATATTCATCAATCTGCAAGATATTAAGTTAATTAAAAGTATATCATTAATTTGGATTTAGTTTAAGGATGTTTATAAATTATTGACATGATTTTTTTTTTCTCATACATAGGTTCTCCTTCAAGATAATTCTTTTTAAGATGTGGTTGATCACTAAACATGATCATATATCAACTGCCGTCGTTTACATGATTTTTCACATCTTAATTTCTACACTCAACATATAAAAAAGAACCCTTTTGTTCAGATTACTATAAATTGGTTTTTTAGTCCGTGTCATACAGCTGAGAACTGTTTATATCTTGTAAGTACTTTTCTTTAACAAATATATACTTTTAAATGTATAAATCATGTTATGGTTAAAAATTATATTAAGGAAATATTTTTAAATACATAAGTAGATTCATAATAAATAATTTATATATATTATGGTATATTTTTCTAAAAGATATTAAAATTCAATTTATAAATAGCAATGATGGATAGAAATTTCTCAATACATTATTCTTCAAAAAAGCACTTCTTATTGAAGATCTTACATAAACTAGATATATGATTATATTCATACATACAAGTGTGAAATAATTTTTATCTTACAAATAAATTTTGTAAAGTTATGTTAGGTTTATGACCCTCTTTTATGATGATTGTAAGTGAGTTATGAGTTTAACTAATATGGTCATATTTTTATTTAATGTAAAATCTTTAACAGTTCTAAAAATACTTTTATTAGAAAATAACTCTCCCAAACACTCTAGTCTAATTTAATTTATATATATGCAGCAAGGATAATTACCTGTGAGAAGACAATAAATATTATGGTATGTGTGAAATCATTTCCTTCTTGCAAAAACCTGTTGTACAGTGGGTAACTTAGTCCCAGTGGTTGGAGGTTTGGAGTCCTTAGGGGGTGGCCTTGTTGTAGGGGCAAGAACCTTCTGAATGCTTATCTTTTGGTTATTCATCCTGCGACCTGGCTAACTAAGATTGGTATTGGTGATGCTTAATTTTGAGTATGGGATTGGACATAAAATGTTGATGAAACATAGCAATGTGGCTTGTGTGTATTTATAGGCAATCCTGCATGCCTTCACCATTCTTTGCATGGAACTTCCCAAGTGAACGTAATTTACGTAGAAATTTCTGCTACTTTTCATGGTTTACGAACTTTTGAACTCTAGGGTTTCCGTGAATGATCATATCATATATGTTAGCTTGTTGCGTAAGGAAATATGCAGTGAATGGTCACCAAGCTTATTATACCGATATTGCATTGGCATGTAAATAATAATATAATAATAATTTATCAAAGATAACCAAGTTATACTCTCTGATATATAGAAACTGTTACGAAAACTCTCATAGTCAAAGCTTTCAACTTTGAATACGCGTCATGATATCTCTCTGCATTTGCCTTTTCATTTCCCCCTATTTTCACTATACACATTAATTAATTAATTAATTAATAACTCTTTCACGTAAAAGACCAAGTCACCTTAATAGTTAATAGACCGCGTCCCACAATTTTTGGCCCTTCTCCCCCTTCTTCATATTATTGTTTCTTCTCTCTTTTAGGAAATTATTGAAAAAATTACATACATTTTCTTTCTCCCCAGGCATGAATTTACACTGACGACATTTTTTTTAGAATATTATTTTGTTACACGTTAGCATAATCGCCCTAGCAATATATACTAATAGATTTCTAATGCAATTCATGGAAATTTGTAATGTAATTCAGCGAAATATGTAATGTAATTCTGCATTATAAAATAGCAACACATGGCATCATTTTAATTACATCAAAACAATATATACATTGTAATACAAATAGTTCATTGAACCAATATTTTGAATATTGCTTTGTGAGAATGAGTTCCAATCCGAAGGACACCTCCAACCTTATAGGCAACAAGGGGCACTCTAAGACTAAGAGCAGCAATGGTTCGACGTCATCTCAAAACGGTGGCCAAAAGAAGACTGTTCAATCGGGTCTTGCCTATAAAAATTCTTGAAATGCATCCAAAACAGGTCAAATAAATTAGAAACAAACCCTCAACAAGGATCTCAATTTCTTGCTATGGAAAATTTTGTAATTTTTTTAATGTTTATTATTTTTTATCTATTTAAATCAGCTAGGAGTTACAATAATTTCATTCTTTTTCACCCCTTTTCCCGTTAATTAATGTCATGGTCTTTAATTACATTCATCATTTTGATTTTATTGCAGGTGATCATGTGGAAGAAGTGGCCGGAGTTATATGTAGGAAGCGCGCAGTGATTATTATAGTCATTATTTGTTTATTTATGAATTGTTCGTTTCATAAGCATTTGTTGTTTACAACCTTTTTTCTTTTTTTTTTAGAAGATTCACGAATAAATTTAGAGCTAGTAATATTTCATTTCTATGTAAAATTATGATAAACACTAATAATCTTTGAAATATTTACATGGTATGCGCAAGTTCCATGTGATTATGAAAGGATATTCACGAATATGTTGTTATTACTTTGTCCTTATATTTGTTTTCTCACGAATTAAGTTCTCTTATAAATATATTTGTTAACAAATACTATCATCTTTGTATATTATTTCTTTACTGTTCCATCAATATAAAGAACCTCGCGTCAAGTTACTTCATTGCTAATAATAGCTGAATAAATTAATTAAAGAATAAAGCGGCTTTTATTTTGTCTAAAAATTCTTGATATCCCAGAGGAGCAGTGGAGCACTCAGAATTTCGAATAAAATAGTTGAACTCGATCAATATACACTTATTTGACGGGCTAAAATTCTCTTAATTATAATTATATAAATGATTTATATTTAAAAGGCTCGAATATTTAAGAGGAAGTATATTTTTGCCACCTAATTATTACAACTTTAGTACTTAAGGAAAACAAGCTCTAAGTAATTTAAAGGTTTTAAGCGATAACATTTCAACTATATGTGACTAGGATAAATTAATATTTTAATTCTCTACTTTTTCCAGTTTATTTTATTTTTTTTTATTATATTTATATTTAAATTGTTATTTTTCAATTTTGACGACAAATAAATCTGTCACAAATTTGTCAATTAATTTTGACGATAATAACTAACACAGTTGAAAAAAAAAATTACATTTTTAACGATTAAAAACACCCTATACGCCATTATTAATATTAGTTATTTCTTAATGTTTAGTCCTTAATTTAAAAAATTAAATTTATATGTAGGAAGCGCGCAGTGATTATTATAGTCATTATTTGTTTATTTATGAATTGTTCGTTTCATAAGCATTTGTTGTTTACAACCCTTTTTTTAGTTTTTTTAGAAGATTCACGAATAAATTTAGAGCTAGTATGCAGTAATATTTCATTTCCATGTAAAATTATGATAAACACTAATAATCTTTGAAATATTGTCCTAGGGTTTGTGTGTAGCACAAGGAGAAATTTGTGTTGAACTTCAGCATGCAATAACTACACATTCTGCATGTTTATAAGTGACTCTCACCGTCAAATTTGTGAACTTTGAAATTTGAATACGCGCAACGTTTGACACTTTCACTGGTGCGTGTGGCCTTTGATATGCCTCTCCGGCTCTCCGTATTTGCATTTTCTTTTCTTCATATTTTCACTATTCACATTAGCTCTATTCCACGCACTAGACTAAGTCATATGAAACCAATATATACAATGGGATTTGAAAAGTTA